ATTAGATAAGCAACGATTCGCAACCTTCTGCCTATCTAAGGTAGGTACATATTGAAATGCCCTCCACTTGGTGCAGATGCAGCCCTGAATGGAGATTAGCAAACGCTCGGACCAACACGCCCGTGTAGGTGTCTGGGTGTGTACCCAAGTACAGTTTGGATACAGGTAATGTGCCATCACTGAGCAGGGCATCAGATGATTTTATTGCCCGCTATCTGTTCCCTGGAACACCACCACCTTCACTTTTCCCGAACGGCCTATTCTGTATTCGTTCTATTATCTGATCCCAGAACACCAATTGCGACGGCGTCTCTTCATACATATTAAGTAAATCGCTTCCACTTGACAACGTACATACACAACAGCAACAGCAACAGCTACTCACTACTCCAACAACCACAATCACCTCAATCACCTCAATCGTTCACAGTACACAATCCACAATCACTGGTGAACGATAGATAAACCTGATTTTTCCAGAGCTGGGCCCCTTTCTGCTTTCAAATCGGCACGCGGCCGTTATTGATGGTTGTAAGTAAGTAAGAAGTCATTTGCTTATTATTAGGTTAGGTTAGGTTAGTAGGTTGCTGGCTTGTCTTGTCTTGTCTGTCTCCTTTGTCCTCTCCTCCCCCAAAACAGACCAGACACCAGAGACCAGACCAGATCAGACCAGACCCATCTCATCAATTTCAACGGCTGTCAGTCATCTTGTCCTACCTCTCCATCTACCACTCATCACTCTCATACCATACACAAATACACAAATACACAAATACAAATACACCGATACACGGTCTTGAGTATACCCTCGACCTGCCCTCGACTTGCACCGTCTGGTGTTTCGTTCCACCTTGCTGCACCACAACCGCTCTCCGTTTCGTCCTTCGGCCCCCTTCTGCCCCCCTCTGCCCCCTCTAACCACCACCACCCCTGTGGTGACGCCGACGTGAAGAGTAAGAAAAGCTGCACTTGGTTCTGCGCGGCAAGACGCTCGCGCCACCTCTTTACCCACTCATCTTCAACCTCCGGGAGTCTTGGAATCAATCACCGCCTGTATATCTCTCTGAAAAGAAGAAAAAAAAAAAGGTCCCACCCCCAATGCAATAGCAAAAGCTCAACGTCCCCTAGTCCCCTATCAGTTCCCAAACGCCGCCAATGAACACGGGCGTCGTAGTCCTCCCACCTGCCTACCACCTATCTATCACCTACCGACTAACTACTACCGACCTACCACTTTTATTACTACCTATACATCCCTCTCTACATCTACCTCTACCTCTACCTCTACCATACCACCTTTCCTAATCTGGTCTTGTTCTGTGTTCTGTGCTGTGCTGTGCTGCCCACCTCCTGCGATCTGCGGCACCACACCCTTCCGACCTTGTGTCAAACATTTCTAATCTTTATGCAGACACAGCTTCCCTCTCTACCTCTCTTCAGTTCCTAATCATATCGCCGACAACGAACGCTCTTTGCAGCTTCTCACAACCCTCACCAATCTCATCTTATCCGACTAATTGCGAACCTACGCCTTCACCGCAATTGGCAAGGTCTTCGGTTCTTGACATCACCGACTATCTAATTTTACCAGCCTGAAGTCGCCCACCATGGCAGCTCCTGGCGTTCAATCATTGAAGGTAGGTTGATCTATGACAGTATCTTCCCGAGTGTCGGTGTGTCGGGCTTGACGTGGCTGTGGTGAAGTGAGAGACGAATGCTAATGTGATTTCTTCTATAGTGCGTCGTTACTGGTGACGGTGCTGTCGGCAAGGTCCGTTACCAATCCTCCCTCGATCTCAGCTGACTCGAATCGAGCCGTGCCTCATGCTAACCCCTATGGCAGACATGTCTTCTCATCTCCTATACGACGAATGCTTTCCCAGGCGAATACATTCCCACAGTGTTAGTTGATAAGCATGGTGTCTACATCAGTGTGTGCCCGCTAATATTTGCTGCTATCAGATTCGACAACTACTCGGCTAGTGTTATGGTGGACGGAAAGCCCATCAGCCTGGGACTGTGGGATACTGCTGGTCAAGAAGATTACGACCGATTGCGACCGCTCTCCTACCCCCAAACTGATGTCTTCCTGATTTGCTTCTCTATCGTCAGCCCGCCCTCATTTGACAACGTGAAGGCCAAGGTATGCGAACTACTACACAAATGACAAACTAGATGACTGAGCTCGGCTGACGTAAACCAGTGGTACCCCGAAATTGATCACCACGCGCCGAACATTCCCATCATCTTGGTTGGTACCAAGCTCGATCTACGAGAGGACCCCGCGACTCTGGAGTCTCTTCGATCCAAGAGGATGGAACCCGTCTCGTACGACCAGGCCCTGGTTTGTGCCAAGGAGATCCGTGCCCACAAGTACCTAGAATGCTCGGCGCTTACACAGCGTAACCTGAAGAGCGTGTTTGACGAGGCTATCCGGTATGGATCATCTCTATAGTCGACCTGTAGTAGTAAGCTAACCATGCGTCCAGTGCTGTGCTGAACCCCAGACCGGTGGCTTCGAAACAAAAGAAACCTAAGTGCACGATCCTATAGATGGCATAGAGCCATTGGTTGCAACGCCCAAGTTTTACTCAGACGAGCCACAAGAGTTGTTTGCGATGCGGTCTCGGCGTTTAGGTGGACATATAGGAAGGACGACTATCCCCGATGAGGGCTCGACGTATTTAGGCCTCTACCAGTCGGCCGCCTACTCATAATCCACGTCCCCTCTTTTTTTGACTCTACACATACCCACAGATATTTTGAGAGCCTTTTTTCTGTTGTTGGAAGGCCAGGCAGGGAGGGACCTGCGCGGAGGGCAGGGAAAGGGGGGCAAGTTGTGAGGCTGTCAAACCGTCACAGACGAAACTTAGGGCATTTATGGTTGGTTCCAATTGGTTTTTTTTTCCGTGACCTAGAGTTTTGATATATTGGTCGTCTGTTCTTTCTCCTACACTGATCTTGGTTCTAGCCAGATTTGATTTGAGATACAGATGTGTCAGGTTTCGGAACTCTGTTGGAAGGAAGAAAGAAAGAAAGCTGCTGCCCTGAAGTCAGTCGGGACGGGTTCTAGTTGGCAGCACTCGAGCCAAGGATATCCAAACTCGCCTTTCCACTATTCTGTAGATAGCACGTTTGCGAGAGAGGATAAATTGATTTTTTCACAACTTGCACGTATTGTTTTAATCCTGCCTTTTTTTTTCACATGTGCTCTTTTCCCTATATTGTCTACCTCGGCTATGAGTATCTATCTCTGGTATAGGAGAGTGTGCCATGTATTCATAAGAAATCATCCATCCTATCTATCCATCATACCACATACCAACTTGTATGTAAAAGGGGGTATCTCATCAAATCACGAAGAACCAGGAACCCTCTGCCTACGGCTCGGGTGCACAGAATCGCCCATCCCTCCTCCAGCAGCCTTCTTCTCCCCCGCGGCGTCGGCCCCCTCGCCGTTAGCAGCCTTCTCGGCCTTCTCCCGCTCCTTCTTGGCGCGGGCCTTCCCCTCCTCGATGGCCCGCCGCGCGCGCTGCTCGTTGAGCTTGAGGTTCTTGGCGCGGATCTTCTCCTTGCGGATGTCGGTGTTGCCGCCGCCGCCGGCGGTGAGCTCGACGTTGATGATGCGGCTGTCCTCCTCCTGTTCCTGCCCCTTCTTTTCCCAGGGCTTGCCCTTCCCCTTACCTTTACCTTTATAACCCTTGGCGTTGGGGTCGGGCGCGCACGCGAAGACGCTGTGGTGCATCGTCTTCAGCGCCGTCTTCATGTGGTCGAAGCGCGCGAACTCGACGAAGGCGACGCCGCGCGACTTGCTCGGGTCGGCCTTCTGGTGCAGCAGGCGCACCGAGGTCGGGTGCACGGCGCTGAAGTGCGCGGTTATCTGCGCCTCGGTCGCGCTGTACGGCAGGTTGCCGACGAAGACGATGAAGCGCGCCGGCTTCTTGGAGGTGGTTGATGTTGAGGGGGTGGTGGTCTCTGCTGCTGCGTCTGCGTCTGCTGTGGCGTCGGTGGTGGTGGTGGTGATGGGGGGGGGAGCGTCTGCTGTGGAGGGTGTGGAGGTCTTCTTCTTCTTGTCCTTCTTGTCCTTCTTATCTTTCTTATCCTTTTTGTCACTCTTGTCCTTTTTGCTCTTCTTGGAGGGCTTGCTGTCTGCAGCAGGAGCCTCCTCTTCCATGGGGGTGTCGTTGGACGGCTCGGTCTCGATGGCGTTTTCTGCTTCCTGCGGCTGGGCTTCTGCGACGGTGTCCTTGGACGTGGACTTGTGCTTGCGATCCTTCTTGGACTTCTTCTTCTCGGGCTTGGGTGCCTCGTCCGCGGCGCTCAGTCGCCTTCGCTTCTTGGTCGTGTCCATGGCGGTGGCCGCAGTGGGGTTGTCTTCGGATTTGCGCTTTGTGGCCATCTTGTCTTGCTTTGCTTGCTTCTCGGAAATCGATGTGGAATACCCGAAATGCTTGAGTGGAATACAATACTGATTTAATTGAATTTTTTAGAAAGAGAGAGAGAGAAAGGCTGCTCAGGTTCAGAGCGGTGGACCGGGAAGTACTGCAGGATCGCAAAGCAAACATTTCCATGATACCTATGTAGAAAATTTTAGTGGAACCGGTTCTAGAGGAAGGTGGGGCTTCCATCCGTGCTGCCATAGTTCTTCCGTAGTTGCTCGCTTAGATGCATTATACTGTTTAACAATAGAGCCAGTACATCTCAACCCAGATTCCGAACCGAGGTCATTCTGCTTTTACAGTCCAAGTTATACACACTGAAACGTTGAACAAGTGCTCATGGGCTGAAATAAATAATTATAGTTGAGGCGGAGCTTATAACTCTTGCAACAACTTCCGTAAAAAAAACAGCAGAATATACATACACCGAGATGCTAAACCCGATCTAGTAGGGTATAAGAAGCTGGGCTGTCTGCTCTCCCCCACACACCCCAACAGCAAAAATCAATCCTAAAAGAACGCAAGTCAGATTAACTTTTAAGCGCTACAAGGCAAAATGTTTGACGGGTGTGGGATTCGAACCCACGCCTCTTTACGAGATGCGAAATCCTGTCTAAGGACAAAGTTTGAGAACTTGAGTCGCACGTGTTAGACCACTCCACCAACCCGCCTTGCTAGTTGATGCTATTCACTGCCGCTATAGTTGTATATACCAGCGCATAGTCTCCAGGGAGATTCAGGCAATCGCTGAAGCCATTGAGTCTCTAAGCATGTTAGTTGAGTCTAAGGATTTGGATACGGTCCTTCGGGACGTAAGATGCCTAGTCATCTATCCTCGAGCAATTTGGCAATTGCTCCCCCGGTCTGTTGGCGAACTCCTCGTCCTTGAACAGGCGACCGAAGCCAGCTCAACAAATCCCCTCAGAACCACTGTCTTTGCTGTCCTAACCACACAGCTGCGCCTCGAGGATGATAGATTAGATGCAGTGGAAGGCCGCGCACAGCTGAATCGACCTAAGCACTGAACATTGAAGTTGAGTTGGTGAAGATGATTGAGGTCTCAACTACGGGTATGACGTCGGTAACTCCAGTCATTGGTCGGCGCGGCCTGCGCGGGTGCTGTTGCCGGGTTTGTTGCCGTTGCGCAGGTCATGTAGTGGCCGTGCGAGGGTTCATGGGTTGTAGTCTTGCGGCCACGGCCGCGTGCTGCATTCCAGAACCCGATGCCAGCAGGACAGTAGGCCTATTTCTAACTTCACCCTAGGCTAAGGATTTTAGGAACAGTCTTTCTCAGAAAGTCGAATTAAGCTGCCCTACAACGGCTCCGAAGATCTCTTCAGTAGTGCCTTTTCAGCATTCAAGCCTCGGTATTAAAACTCCATCTAGATATCCCTATTTGAGATCCTGATTTTTCCCCATTCCCTTTGTAACCTGAAGCATCCATCTCTATACCTTACACCGTAAATACATTATGTCATAATGTTCATGAGTCTTCATCATATAAGCAATCCAGCGTACTTACCATCGCCGTTGCACCAAGCTTGACTCTTCACTACCAGCTAGATTGTCCCCTCCAGGCCTGTATATGACCTCGCTATCGCTGTAAGCAAGACGAAGAGGCCCCGTGCCATGTCCATCTTTGGGCTTGTCATCCTTGAAACCATAGACCTTCACGCTGATACTGTCTATATCGGTTGGTGTCTTATGGTATCTCAAAGGTCGAACATTGTCGTGAAAAGGTTCTGAAATGCGAAGAATGGCAAAGTCATTCTGGACCGAACGTGCATGGATCCACTGAGAATGTACGGCCACGATGTCTACGTGGCGGTCATCAGAGCCATAACGGTCTGCACGACTATCCCGATAAACACTAGCAGACACGGCACGCCCGTGTTTACGGTGCCAGATGTTGTGACCAACGGTCATGATGTGCTGATCATCAATGACGGTCCCGGACCCCCAAAATGACCGGCGACGACCTTTGGAATCTACAAAGCCGACCTCCACCACTACAACCCCTTGTAAGTGTCAGCAGTGTGATTTCATAACAAAAGATCCAAAGACATACCGCTACAAGGCCCGCCATCCTGAACGTCGATATCTGAACAGAGCTTTCTGCGGTGTCGGCCTATCAAAGCTTCGTCGCCGTTGGGTGGCAGCCTAAATGCAAACGCCTCAGGCTCACGCCCATCAATCAATGGAGGATTCTTCGGGAGATCCATATGTGTGTGGAAGTGATTGCTGTCCCGAACTCGAGGTGTGCCGTAGTGCTGAGGCTGGCCTAACGGAACAATATGACTACCGCCAGCCCGAGCGAAGGAGTCCAGCTGGATAGTCAGAGTAGCTCCGGTACTATTTGCAGGCACTCCTATAGAGCGTAAGACGTCAACAATGTTGTCTTTATTAAGAACGACTTCCTTCATGAGGTGGGAATCTTCAAGATGACATTGGGTTGTCCCCTCATATTTACAGCGCGGGTAAGGCTAGCTGACATCTTGAGAACTGATGGATTTGCTGATTTGTAGTTCTTGGAGAATGAGGTCTATTGGGTTAGAAATCATGATGGCAATAGCTTAGTTATATTATTTCATACAGCTTGTCATCCGGGCGCGTTGAAGCTTCGTTATTGCCCAATGAGAAGTGTAGAATACATCTAGGTAGTCAATTGGTCGCTGGCCTCAGCGGCATTGAGGGTGATCTCAAATTTGATTCGTTAGCCACTCAGAATGACGTCAATAAAAACGCACACTCGGGAGACAAGCCACCTAGGAACCTATCTAATAAATCATACAACCAAACACCCACAATCCTCCTGCCTCTCCAGGATGTTCTATTCTCGGAGGTTTACTATATGTGTATAGACTATAAGTCTATCCATCCATCCTGCCATGGACGTTCCTGACAGGAATAGCAGTTTTCATATATTAAAATCAGCTTAGGTGTATCTAATTAACTGCCGTAAAGCAGCACTTTGGGCCACAGCTCCACGGCGCCCCGGCCTAACAAAAGGTACCTGATCTTACACTCGTTTTATGTATGATGTGATGTATCAGTGTACATTACATCTTCTTCTCACCTAATCATCTTTCTAGTGGAAGTCTTGTATCTGGCTACCGAGTCTTCACCAGAAAAGCATCAGTTGTGTTGATGCGGATCAAACCCGAGAGTAAATATGGTAGTTTAATGGAGTCCTTCACGAGGTACTGTATGACGCTCATCAAAGAGAATTTGGAGATAGGCCTCGAAAAGACCCCCGGCTAGACAATTAGACCCCGGTTAAGTGTAAGCCCCCACTATCGCGCAATCATACGGGCTTCAAAGGCTTCTATTTTATTATAGATTATAGAGCTTATTAATGTTATTATCATTACTTCTTTATGTTCGGCTCGGTATCTTCTAAGATATAGCTTTCATTTAAAGTTTTAATCCCATTGGTTGTTGAGAAAATGCACTGCGAAGTTGACCTGTCGACTGCTAGTATGGATAGTGTGGTAATCTAATATAGGTGTTTTCAACGCTGTCTGGACGAGGGATAAGGCTTAACATATAAGAATGTGTACCCCACGTCTTTTCTCATTTGCGAGCTTTCACTAACAAGTTGTTTTACCATAGGCTCAGTCTCGTACAGGCGTTCGACATCTTAACAAATACCAATTGAATATTAATGACTTCCTCAACACTTCCGAATTTAGAGATCCTTGGTTTTGAAGCCAGCCACGCTTACAACTTCCTCTCTAGTCTATAAATGGGTAGAATTCACGAAACCTAAAAAGTGTTTTAGTTTTTTCTACAAGAAGGGTCTATCCATAGCACTCTAACTCCTAGTTCTAATAATTTCCAAGCCTTGTGTTTGTTTACCTAGGAGGGAAGTAGTCTATCTCAGGCTAGAATCAGGAAAGAGTGAAAGCTGTATGCATTATCAAAATTATAGGATTAATACCCTTTGATTGTTGGAAAGTCTAATTCGAAGTGTTGCTGTAGTACAGCATGCAGCATGTGGGCCGCTCGACCTCCTATATTCTAACCTGAGTAATAAACGTGCGCTAGGACTGATAGACATCATATCTATGTGGGAGAATATTTGAAGTATAACTGGATATGGTCATGTTTCTCAAGGCCTAACAAAGCATAATCATTCATTACCTCAGTGGCACCATCAATCCTAAGCGTGCTATGTATGTCTGTATTAGCGGCATGGCTGCAGTTAGTAGGAAGCCGACCATTATACCCAGACATAGAGCTTCGGGATGCCAGAATAATCTGGTCAATTTGGCCTTAACTTCATAAGCAAGCACCCATTCGCCTCTCATCTTCCGCGCGACACGAAGCCCCAGCAGACCATCCAGACTTCGAGAGTTGAGCTTTACTTGATAATCTCCCAATGTCTTCTTCTTTTCTTTGTTCACAAGCCATTTCTCCAATGTGTACCTCTCTTCCCAGCATTGACAGGGCGCTCTGGTTATGGTTCTGTTTTTCTCAACTTCGGCATCCGTAGCTTCTGTCGTATCACTGACGGTCCCGAGTATAGGTACGCCGTAACCGCATGATGTTTGAACCTGAAGACATGTTAACTTAAAATATGGAGGCGAAAAAGCTAGCATTCTCAGACCTTCCATATGTCAAGTACGATAACAGCCCTGGTTCCGGCAATTTTCTCCTTGCCCATTGATTTGATTGCATCTTCGAACCCGGCCATATCCCATTCAACTACCCGACCCGTACAAAATAATCTCAGAATTCGTGGCTGGCCGTCGAAGCTGCAGAACATAACAGTCACGCGACCATTTTCATATATGTGCGAGATAGTCTCAGCACCAGAACCGGAAAAGTCAAGATATCCGGCCTGGTTTGGATTGAATATAGCGAAAGTTGCGGCAGGGCGGCCTTTGGGCGATAGATTGATATGGCGGCCTTTAAGGGGTGCGGAGGCTGTGAAGAATATAGACTGTTGAAGTGCCCAGGCCTGGAGGTTGCTGGGAAACGAATCATAGAAATGAGGCATGGCGATCTAATGTAACAAGTTGATCGGCTATCAGACAGTTGGGAGTTGTAGAAGTGTGTTCAGGTCTTCCATGGAGTCCAAAGTGACCGTTACGCGATATTTAATATCAGACGCAGTCTCGGCATCCGAAGCCGGGATGCTTATCTGCTTTGATAAAGGGTGACATTGGAGAAACCTTGTCCCTCTCATTGTCATCGTTCAGTTTGGAACTTCACAACCTCAAAATTGCTGATAGACACATGTAGGCTATTCATGGATCGGCTGACTAGGTAATGAGATATTAGCAAGAGGATGTATGATCTGGAGACAAGCGCTCTATTCTCGTTATAAGATATCGTTCCCTATCATCCGGATGGATTCCGAACCGAAGTAATCCGAGCAAACCAAGCTTGTTGATCACCAAGTTCGTACCTGACATCATTGGAGTAAAGGCCTATGATATGCAACGAAACTCCAAATAGCACAAGACCCTAGACTATAACTATATAATGCAGATCATTAAGGCATGTAATTGTATGTACATCTTACCGTGAAGGTATTATATGCTTTGGATGTCATGTGTAAGTAGAGGCAAGTTTCTTCGGCTAGGGACTTGACAGCTAGAGAATTAGCTGTCGATGAGAAGAATGACCCCACAAGCGTGGACAAGGTGAACACTGGCGTCGCAAG